GTTTCTCCGTGTTAGCCAGGATGGTCTCGATCTCCTGACCCCGTGATCTGCCCGTCTCGGCCTCCCAAAGTGCTGGGATTACAGGCGTGAGCCACCGCGCCGGGCAGATAGCACCCTATTCAACCACTTGTAGAAGAGTGAAAGTCTACCTTCAGCAGGCAGCTGGCTTCAAGTTGCAAAACTACCTTCTGCCATGAAGATGTGAAAAGCTTATTTTGTCATTGAATATGACCAATTAGCATGCAGAGATGGCCTCCCCAGTGACCAGGTGAATTTAGGATGAACTACCTATGACATGGCGCTGTACATTCTTCTACTTGTGAACTGATTATGATAACCGTCTTTATTTCTTTTCAATCCTTAAGCAGATGGATTGTAATACATGTGACATTCAGATTTAATTGTGTAATGAAACAGTTTTCTTTCTGTTCCATTACTGCAGTTTCTGTGGTGCTGAAGAGAATTAATAAAAATTATATTTCCCAAACACTGTGTAGAATTACCAGACATAATATAAACACATAAGGTGCCAACCAAGCTTTACTCTAGAGGGGACTTTCCCTCTCAGGCTTCCAGTCAACTCACAGTTATGCTGTAAAATGCATGCTGTCAACTAAATATGCATGCGGAATTATGTCTCTGCCTATTTGGTAGTTTCATTTTCTATTTAGAATCAGCCTGAGTCTCTCTTGCTGGTTTATTATTGGATCATCAGCCCAGGGTCACTGGAAATGCTCTCACAATCACCAAGGTGTCTTTGAGACATTTGAAAATCTCTCCAGAACAGAATTGTGTCAGACTGACTAGAGTGGTTAATTTTGCTTCTGTCTTAGTGTAAAAGAAATGAGTCATCCTCTGTTTGCTCCCCACCTCATACAAGAGATGTCTTTGGTTGGTACCCAGATGAGAGTTTCTCTAGTTCCCTGGTACTTGAGTGAAAAATTATGAGGAGGTCTGGAGACTCAAACGAATAAACTAATTGCTTCCAATTCATATATTCATTAGAAAAATAGATGAAGCAGTCATGGTCCCTACCATGCAAGAAATTTTAGTGTAGACTAGCAACTGGATAAGTGGTTTAATTATGCATCATATGGTGGGTACAATAAATAGATGTGTGCAAAAATATGGGCTTTATTTGGGCCATTTTCTTTATATTTTTGTGACTTCTGATGTCTGTACCTGAACATATATTAATAAACAAGAGTTATTATTGTATTTTTTATGCCCTGCTAAGAATACTTATTTATCGTTTAAAAAAATTATTCTAGAAAACCTTAAGGGATTTGTTTAAATTGCTTATTAGTATGTGATAAAAAATTGAAAGGGCAGTGGGGCTAAAAAAGATTACAGTTACATAAACTCTGAGATTTAAGGTTTTTTGTTTTTTTAAGCTAAGCTTAAAAAATGAAACGGAACTAAAAATACTCCCCAGTGGCATAAAGAACAGAATTTTACATCAGCTCTACACCCCGCTTCAGCCCTATTTAGATTCACCCTTTTGAAAGCCTTATTTAGGTCTTGCCCTACCCTGGAGTCTTGCCTCACAGAACTAATTAGAAGAGATCAGAGTTTTGGCTGATGAATCCTGTTGCCTTTTTAGAATTGGTTCTCACAATTTTCTGAAAACCAAAAGCAGATAAATGGAAAATATAAAATATGTATTATAGGGTCTTAATTTTTAAATTTTTTGTTAAAACTAGTGTTTGCAGAGACATTCCATTTAGCAACCTGTTTTCTGTTCCTACAGATGCAGTAGTTGATTCACAAGTCACAAAATGGTAAATATAAACATAATAATTCATCTAAATTACCTTACAGTCTATCTATATCCCTCTCATCTGTCTATATTTAGATTGTATTCTATGCATTTTAAAAAAAATTAGTGACAGAAAAACAAAAGAAGAAATAAAAATGCTGGGTCCTTATTCTAAATCCTTAGAATTATTGAACACTTAGTATCAACTGACAGGCTGTTATTAGAATTAAATCAAATAATGAGTTATCACAGTGCTCTGTAACATCCTATTGATTACATAATACCTGCTTAATAAACATTGCATTAGTACATGTGCACATGTTGTTTTCCAAATGCAGACTTACTCAGAAATTGCTGCTTTCTGTTTTCTCTATAAACTTTAAAGAGCCAGCAAGTAATATACTTTAAGATAGAGAATGGTTGTCTTCATTTGTATCAGAAGTTTTTGTGTTGTGACAAGAGTGTTGAGTGTAAGGGACTCTGTGCTGTGCCTCATTTTTGTAATGAATGCTAATAATGAGCCCAGGGAGAGTGACATCAGCACTGACAGGGGACTTGTTTAGAACACCCATTTATGGATCATCTCCAAACCTGCAGAATCACATTACATAGAGTGGGACCAAGTTTACCTAGTGATTTATAAGTGAATTAAAGCTTGAGTGACGATGCTTAGGTAAGCGGTTATAAGCTCAGGCTTCTACTTAGAGTCACATGACCAATTTACAGGAATCTCTTTACTTGTGCCCTTTTTACAGTTTCTGTTTAATGTTCTGAAGAAAACATCTATTTGTTTTAATTAAGTGCCTCATGTGACTCTAAGGTGCCAGAATCAAGTATGAGAAGTTCAAGATACATTCATGAGCATTAAGTTCTACCTTTACACTAAAGAGTGGTCCAGGAACCTGTTCTATTTAGATTTGTAAGGACAGGACAGTGTGGCCAATATTTATATTCCTGTAGCAGAAATTGCCAGTGTCTGTAGCAGGGGAGGGCACCTAAGGACAAAAAAAAAAGAGAAACTTGTATTTTTATCTCTGTGGAGCAGCTGATTGTTCCTGAATCTTTTCTGTTATATAGGACAGAAATGGGTAGAGGTTTTGTGTCTTGGGCCTTCTGCCTTTGGGTATGGTGGTAACAGGTAAACATGTGGTGCTCAAATTATTAAAGGCAAATTCTCAAGATGCAGATGTAATTCAGAAAATCTCATCTGAGGAAGAATTCGAGAGGAGGAGGAGAAAGAGAAAAAATGGCTTTTTTTTCAGCTAAACATGTCTCAGATCAAGAGCTATGTCCTCTCTGCCTCATGGAATGCCACAGGTTTAGTACTTGCAAATTTTTACTTCTATACCTGTGTTTTGTCTCCCTATTGAGTTTGTCTTAACTACTTTTTAAAATGCTTATGATAGGCCAGGCGCGGTGGCTCATGTCTGTAATCCCAGCACTTTGGGAGGCCGAGCAGGTGGATCACCTGAGGTCGGGAGTTCGAGACCAGCCTGACCAACATGGAGAAACCCTGTCTCTACTAAAAATATAAAATTAGCTGGGCATGGTGGTGCATGCCTGTAATCCCAGCTACTCGGGAGGCTGAGGCAGGAGAATCACTTGAACCCGGGAGGCAGAGGTTGTGTTTTGGTGAGCCAAGGTCATGCCATTTACACTCCAGCCTGGGCAACAACAAGAACAAAACTCGGTTAAAAAAAATGCTTATGATAGTCAAGGGTCCTCTAAAAACATTTCTTTTCTATCTACCACAGCCTTCTCTGCATCATGGCTTCTTATATGCCATGCAGAATTCTCACCATGAATTTGTGATCTGCAATATTAAAAATGTTCTCTTTATGACTGTTGAACATGGAAAGGTGTGGATAATCTCTTTCTATGGAGAAAACCTGAGATTATTAGTAAAGATGGATAACATACAATGTTGAGGTTCTTTTTTGTTTATGATCTCTATGCATTACAGGATTAAGAAAATGCTCCTATAAAGAGGGATGGCATTTGTTACCCAGAAAGTTGAGAAAAAATTATCCGGAGATACCTGCTTGTTGGGTGTTAAATAAACTACTTAAAATCATTATTAAAAATTGTAGAACATGGAAGATACCTGTATCTTGAACTTTGCATACAACTGATGTTTTCGTATGGATAAATTCAGACTGTAATTTACTTTCGTGGGGGCAATATCTCAGTAGTGCTGCTATGTCCTTCTGGATGCATGAGCACACTACAGAAACTTGTTCTAGTGCAACTGACATTAATAACTCACTTGCTTAATAAGCTCTCTTACAGATTTTTTCGCTATAGAGTTATTTTTCTCTTCATCATTAAGTATCTTTATGCAGGTGATGTGTATAAACTATCACATTTATTCTGGCAACTGCCCTTTTGTTTTAGGTTTTCTTTGCATTGTTTTTTTTTTGGTAAATGAAAGCCCTCATCTTTGTTTACAGAACAGAAAAACTGAAGAAAACACAGGCTCTTCCACTTACTGGATGTTTGACAAAATAGTCTTTTGGGGTCAAAACATTGGCATTACTAGTGAGCTTTTTAGAAATTCAGTAACTCAGACTTTATTTCAGATCTCCTGAAAAAATAGTCTGCATTAACAAGATGTCTAGTTTATCGTACACATTGAAATTTGAGGGGTACCTTCTAACTCAACATGTCTATTTTGTCGGAAATATATAAACAACTATGCCTTTTTCATCTAAAAAATATATACAACTCATTCTATATTATGTAAATACAGCACTCGAAAATGTACTTGTTAGTGTTTGTGCCCTCAATTTTACACTTTATCATCTAGACAAGTATCATATATACACTGATGTTGTGGATATTATGCCACTGTCTTTTCTCAGAGTTAGACAATATGTTACAAAATGTTTGTGTGTTGACAATTATTTTATTGGATAATTTCAGCCACTCTTATAAGTCAAAACCAGTTCTAGTCACTTTCTGATTTTACCTTGAGTCAAATGAAAAATTCTGCCCATAGCCATTTTGTAAATCTGTGCGTTTGTGTGTGTTTTCCAGGGACTGTTGACATTTAGGGATGTGGCCATAGAATTCTCTCTGGAGGAGTGGCAACGTCTGGATGCTGCACAGCAGAATTTATATAGGAATGTGATGTTAGAGAACTACAGAAACCTGGCCTTCCTGGGTAAGGAAAATTTTAATACTAAATTTCTAATATAGACTAATGGTGGTTGTTGCTTTTTTTTTTTTTTTTTTTTTTTTTTTTTGAGATGGCTCAGACTGGAGTACAGTGGTGCGATCTGGGCTCATTACAAGCTCCACCTCCTGGATTCACACCATTCTCCTGACTCAGCCTCCTGAGTAGCTGGGACTACAGGTGCTCACCACCAACCTGGCTAATGTATTTTTAGTAGAGATGGGGTTTCACTGTGTTAGCCAGGATGGTCTCGATCTGACTTTGTGATCCGCCCGCCTCGGCCTCCCAAAGTTTTGGGATTACAGGCTTCATTTCTTTTTTGTAGAATGTTTTCTGGAAATTTGTGCTTTCAGATTTCTCTTTTCAAGAAAATCCTGGGGATTCGTTGGTTTAGAAAAGAATTTCTTCAAGAAGTTTCATCTTGACCTGAACTTTCCACATTCCTGAGCTGATCTGTGTCCTTCACTTTAGATTAGTGGTAATTTCAGAAGTTTTGTGGCATAAAATACTGTTACACCTTAAAATCTAATTGCCATCACCAGTTTTTGATTCAGTAGTACCAAGCAGTAAAATTAAGAACCTGCAAAATCAAAATGCTTTCTAAATATGTAGACATTTCTGTTACAAATTAGTATATTGGGATAAATTTATTAGAATATTCTATTATATCCTGTTTACTGAGCACATTACTAAGTTGGCAATTGGAGAATATGAGCAAGATTCATGTTAGTTATTTTTAATAAAACAGGTATTGCTGTCTCTAAGCCAGACCTGATCACCTGTCTAGAGCAAGGAAAAGAGCCCTGGAATATGAAGCGACATGAGATGGTGGATAAACCCCCAGGTAGGTAAGAATGAATACAACAGACAACATGGATGAGAGGTCCAAAGTCAAGAAGAAAGCAAGTCTTTAAAGTGATCTGAGAAGCTATGTTCCAAAGGAAATAGTTTCTGGGAAGCCTGAATTTTTTATTTAATTATACTCTCACTTCTGCTAGTGCTTATAAATTCTCTAAGAATTCTACTTTCCCTACAATTATCTTTCTTCAAGTTTACAGTGACAGCCAAAGTACTGTTCATGGCATACGTGAGTGCACAATCTGACTTCTTTTTTCTTGTTTTTGTGGACAGACAGATACCTGCATAATTTTGCGACACTCTATTTTAAACTGTTTTTTAAGTTCTCTTTTTGCATTATGTCTGAAATGTGTGAGAGTAGTGGTTTCTGTTCCATTGGGTTTTTTTATTGTTGTTCTTTATTTTTCTGCACATTTCATCCTGTTTTCATTACTATGGTCTTGAAATATTGTTTGAAATTATACATTTGATGTCTTTCTGCTTCGTTCTTTTTCTTCAAGATTGCTTTGGCTATTCAAAGTTTATTGTAGTTTCATGTACATTTTAGGATTGTATTTTTCATTACTGTGAATAAAAAACAATGGAATTCTGATAGGGAGTTTATCAAATCTATAGATCACTTTGGATAACATGACAGTTTCACAATACTTTTTCTTTCAATAAAAGTAAAATATTTTTAAGTTTATTTGGGTCCTCTAATTTTTTTCATTGCTATATCTTTCACTTAAAAGATTTATGAGCTCCTTGGTTAAATTCATTCTAAAATTGATTATTTCATTGCCATTGTAATTAACATTTTTTTCCCTCTATTTTATCAAATAGTTTGTTTTAAGTGTATGGAACCATAACTTACACTTGTATGTTAATTTTATATTTTGCTAATTGAGTGTATTCATTAGTTTAAACAGGTTTTAAAGTACTGTTTATATATATATATAATTACATGATCTACAAAAAGCAACATTTTACTTATTGGTCTTTAATTTCAATGACTTTAAATTTTTCTTTTGACTATTTCGTTTTCCACATAGTTTCAGTGCTATGTTAAAATAGAAGCATTGACAATAAGAAACAATAGTTTTGCATTGGTGACTGTAAACTTGAAGGAGCAAACACCTGTTCAAGTATTTAAAAACTGGTTTTAGAAAGTAAAAGTCTGTTTTTGTTGGGCCCCCATAGTGATAGAATACCCTCTGGGTTTGTAGTGAAGAGGGGTTGTAGCTTGGTCTTAAGTCTGCTGGGCTTGCACAAGGGTCCATCTTTAGATGTGTTGTTAAAAGGGGCTTGGATAGTTTTAATTCTCATTTAATTTTTGGACAGAATGAATATCCTTCAGGACTTTGCTGTGCAGGGCAGTCCCAAAGGCAGGTTTCTGCAGTCAGGCCTGCATATGGTGGGCCTTATATCAGGATGTGGGTGAGCATGGCTTTCACTGAGTACAAGAAAGGATTTTCCCAGGTCACTATGGGTTTCTACATAGGCAGAATAGGCCATGAGCTGTGGCTCAGGGAGCTGGAACTGAATCATTGAACTGCTTCAGGGACCACAGTAAAGACCAAGGTCTGCGGGCCTGCCATCATGGCTATAAATGGGTGTCTTTCTTCAGGCCTCTGGAAGGGCAGGACCTCCCCCAGACTGTGGCTGGGAAGGGTTTGGGATGGTTACGGAGTAAAGTTCAAAATTCTCAGTGGAACCAAGTTAGGTGGAACATTTTCTCATCTGTAGCCAAAAACAGTAGTCCTGTAGTTTGCCACCTGAATGAGGGCCTGCCTTCTAAAAAGGATTACCTTCAATCTTGCACTTCAGCAGAGTTTCATAACTCCCTTCCTGGACCTCAGCTCTCTTAAAGACACTTATTTTTGAGATAGGGTCTTGCACCATAACCCCGGCAGGTCTTAATATTTTGACCAGAAGCAATTCTCCAACTTTAATGTACCGTGTAGCTGTCATTACAGGGGTGAACCATGATGCCTGGTTCTCTCACAAACACATTTTTGTCAAGAATGGCTGACAAATTTCCTTGCTGTCAGGGGATAAGCAAATAGGGCACCTTTTTTTTTTTTTTTTAATCTTATTAATGTCACTGTCCATATAAATTTTTGTTTTTATTTTCTACTTCAAATTTGTCTGTAGTTTTGGATTTAGACATTTAGGACAATATACTAGAATGTATATGTTGTGCCTGAATTAGATGCAGGCAGGCTAATAGGAATTACAGAATTTTCAGCCACTTTTTGTCAGCAAATAATTTATTCCTCAAATATTTGTTTTATATATGAGGCTCTAACCATATTCTGCTAAATATATACATAATTTAGCAATTTAAGGCTATATTTGGTTCTGAACTTGAATTACAGTAGTTTTATTTTGTGTAAAAATAGCACATATTTAAAACATAAAAATTGACACTAGTTTCTTTTATATGCTTATTCTGTTAAGTTTCTCATTAACATCTCCTATTTATGATTGTACTGCATTTTGTCTGGGATTTTATTGCCATACAATAGATACCATAGTTTAAAATGCCTGCCTTCCATGACTGCACAGTTACAGTCAAACATTGCAGTTTTCTAGACAAATTATTTGTTAACGTACATTAATGTTGCCAACTAGATTTTATGAGTAAACCTTTCTTTCATTATTTTCTTGCAGTTCTACATTAGTGTATTTTTTTGTGTAAGTTTCTTAATATCAGTTTATTGTGTTTTTGGTTTTACTTATGTGTTATAATTTTAGACAATTTGCAATTCTGTTTGTATACTTTAAGTCAATGTGGGATTTAATTAAAAGATAAATGAGCCATATGTGTATCACACTCAGATTATATATATGTGTGTGTTTTTAGGTCTATAAATATGACCCCAATTTTGGTTATAGCTTATCTTGTATATATTCTTTCTTATCTCATTTTTTTTTTTTTTTTTCCTTTTTTGAGATGGAGTGTTGCTCTTGTTGCTGGAACTGGAGTACAATGCATGATCTTGGCTCACTGCAACCTCCACCTCCCAGGTTCAAGCGATTCTGTTGCGTCAGCCTCTCATGTACCTGGGATATCAGGCATGTACCACCATGCCTGGCTAATTTTGTATTTTTCTTTTAGTAGAGACAGGGTTTCTCTCATGTTGGTCAGGCTGGTCTTGAACTCCTGACCTCAGGTGATCTGCCTGCCTTGGCCTCCCAAAGTGCTGGGATTACAGGTATGAGCCACCTTGCCCAGCCTCTTAGTTCATTTTCAGTGTTGGCTTTATCTTGTCTTAGTGAGTAGTCCTTGAAATAGCATTATTTTCACCATGTGTTTAATGATGAATACGTATTTCCTTTGTGTGAAAAAACCCTTTTGTGATTTGAAGGTAATTTTCAAGAAAATTTACAGTTCTTTATTTTTTCTAGTTTTTTCAAAAATAATTGTTGTAAAAACACATAACGTATAATTTAACTTCTTAAATCTATTTCAATGTACATGTCAGGGCCAGGCATGGTGGTGGCTCACTTCTGTAAGACCAGGATTTTGAGAGGCCAGGAGGATTTCTTGAGCCCAGAAATTTAAGACCAGCCTGGGCAAAATAATGGAGACACCCTCTCTACAAACATTTTTATCTAAGAAATAGCCGGGTATGATGGTGTGTACCTGTGGTCCCAGCTACTTGAGAGATTGAAGGGCAGGATTATTTTAGCCTGAGAGTGTAAGGCTGCAGTGAGCCATAATGTGCCACTGCACTGAAGCTTGGGTGACAGATTGAGAGCCTGTCTCAAAAAAACAAAACAAAACAAAACTGTATATTTCAGGCATGTTAACTGTATTCACATAGTTATGCAAAGGACTTCTAGAAATTTTACATCTTGCAAAATTAAAATGCGGTGTCCATTAAATAACATTTACCCACCATTTTATGCTCTAGCCCTTGACAAACACCCTTCCACTTTCTGTTTTTACAAGTTTGACTATTTTATATATCTAAGTGAAATCTTAACTTTCATCATTTCGTTACTAGCTTATTTCAGTTGACATAATCTCAAAGTGTATGTTTAAATGTGACAAGACATTTTTTTTTTAAGGTTGAATAATATTCCATTGTATCAAATATGTCTTCAGGGTCCTATGATGCATATTTTAGATATAGATTCATAAATGGAATTGCTGTATTTGATAATTTTATTTAAAGTATATTTATAACATTATAAAATAATGGGTGTATCCTGCTTTCCACCAACAATCAATAAGTTTCTTTTTTTTTTTTTTTTTGAGATGAATTCTTGTTCTGTCGCCCAGGGTGGAGTGCAGTGGCACGATACTGTCACACTCCAACCTCGGCACCTCCTGGGTTCAAATGATTCTCCTGCCTCAGCCTCCTGAGTAGCTGGGATTACAGGCACATGTCACCACACCTGGGTAATTTTTGTATTTTTAGTAAAGACGGGGTTTCACCGTGTTAAGCAGTCTGATCTCGAACTCCTGACCTCGTGATCTGCCTGCTTCGGCCTCCCAAAGTGCTGGGATTAAGGTGTGAGCCACTGTGCCCAGCCCAGGGTTTCATTTTTATTGCATTATCAACAGATTTGGTGTTTTTAAAAAATTGATAGTGACCATTTAAGTGAGTGTGAGGGGATTTTGTTTTTCATTGTAATTTTAATGTATTTCTCTACAAATTAGTAATTTTGTGTGTCCTTTCAAATTTTTCATTTGATTTTTTAATGAAATTTTATTTTAATTATTTGCCTATTTCTAAATAAAGTTATTCGACTTTATTGTTCCGTTTTACAAGTTGTTTATATTTTTTGGATATTCACTCTTATCACATGTAATTTGTAAATATTTTCACCCATTTTATAGTAGGCGTTATTTCTCTATTAAATGTTTACTTAAATATGCAGAAATTTCTAAGTGTAGTGTAGTAAAATTATTCTGTTTTTTTTTCTTTGTTGCTCATGCATTTAATTATCTAAGAATTTGGCACCAAGACTAATGTCATGTGTTTCATATATGTA